AATTGTCTATCATTTAAGCAACTGGAAGGCAGATACTTAAACTTGATAATGAAGTTGCGGTCTTCCTTATGTTAGCAACATAATCATTTCCAGTGTAGCATGAAATGAGCAATCTTAAGAAGCAAGTGAAGCATTTTGCCTGACAAATTTGAACTTGCAGTTCCACAACAGAATGTGCTGAGAGTGAGGGAGGAACTAGAAGGTTGATGTTAATACGCGGTACTTATTTATGAGCAGCAATATGATAATGGCTACTGGCGTCCATATGAAGAAATATTTTTTCCTGCTTAATGGTGTTGATTCTTCTATGGAAATTATTTTTGCAAAATATTTTGTCCACATTGCAAAAACTAATATTCTGTGCTTTCTTTGGTTAGTTCTTATTCACTTGTTCAGGCAAATAGTTATTTAAAAAAAAAAAAAAAAGGAGGGGGATAAAATAATTCCAAATTTCCGATACAAGAGAGTCATATTTTTATTTATAACTGGCATACCTTAGACTTTAGTCTGTTTCATACTGTAGTTTCCTAGTGACTTTTTCGGAAACATGAGGAAGTTTTTCTTTATTCGGGTATTGTACACGTTTTTAAAATTTTTTTTTAAATATATAGCTACACTACAAAGGGAGTTTACTGACAGTGATGACTGAAATTTGCTAGTGACTAGCAGATTACATCTGTGGATGCTTCTGCAGTTTTGATGGAGATCTGATTTGCTGTAATCAAAGTTACACAGAGATGAAATAACTGCTCAGATGAACTGTGGAACAGCTGTTGCCAATAGAAGGACCCTGGGCTAAATCAACAAAAGAGCAAGAAGTTAAAACACAGTTTATATACCTAATCCTTAGTGCATTCTGTCTGTCTTCTGTTGCTTAAAGCTGAGTATATGTAATACTTTGCTAAAGCTGACATGAGTGTGGTATTTTCATTCTTCTTCCTGTAGAAATGTCAGGAAACTGTTGAAGGTGGAACATCTGAGTTCAAAGTTATTAGAAAGTTTGGATTCCTGACAGCTCAGTATCAGTCAGAACACCTTCACCCCCATTACTTGGATAAATCTGGCTTAAATTCTGTCTGAGATCCTTTGTTTGGTGTCTTCTGTTTAGTTGGTCTAGATTTTCAGAAGCCTCTGTATGCAACAGCAAACAGGGAAAGGGATATGCGTAAATGTAGACTGGTAGAATCTTATAGCTTTGCAGGTACCATTTCTGTCTTTTTAATATTATTGAAATAGGTTTATTTTCTGCGTGTTTGCTTCTGCCTGCCTGAATTCAAGTGGACTGTTTGAAATGTAGAGCTATGAAAGAGGTAAGAGTTGGAGGGGTTAAAAAAAAGGCAAAAGTAAATTAAAAAGGGGGAGAAAAAAAAAGCCTCCAAGTATATACAACTTTAATTTGATTTATAGGTCCTAATCATCTCCTCCAGTCGTATCTTCAGTGGTTTTGGATTCTATCATTAGATGTTCGTACCCTATCTTGTCTTTGCCTTGACTTCTCAAACTTTTTCCTTGTTGTAGTAGACAACGTTGTTTCTGGTGAGCATCTGAACAGTCGTCTTAGAACATGTAAATCAGCTGGGTCAAATTAAATTTTTCTCATATATCAAATTCCAGATGATATGGACTTCCAGATTGTTTGCAGTCTGAAAATATTCTGGCAAGCCTTTTGGGATTTTTTTGAACAACATTTGTGTAGGTTCACTAGGTCTGATAAAAGATGTTTTCCCCTATATGTGTTTTACATGAGGTGGTATTTTCTGGCCAGTCCATTTGTGTGTGCATGTATATGTGTGTATAAAAGCATCATTCACTGAAAAATCTATTTTTAAAAATATTCATAGAAATCATATATCAACATTTTTTCAGTGAACACTTGTATTAATGTGATGTATATTCTGTTTGTGTTTCTCACAAACTTCTGTTATACATGTGCCTATGTAAGTTCTGTTTGATTAAGCTAGCTGAATCTGTATGTTTGACTTCACTTCTACATGTTGGTGTGTATTTTACTTTGTGGAGAAAATAATTCAAAAGTGAAAAAAACTTATCCTCTTGAATCAAGGGGAACTGCTGGAAAAACAGGAGCTTGGCAAAGCATTGGCTTAGTTGAGTAACTTTCAACACTCTCCAGAGTAACTTCAGAGGTGCTTGTTCTCAAAGCTTTTACCAGATTTTCTAACCCTACAGTAATTTTTTTGTTCAAATGCTGTATTCTTTCTTCCTTGGAATCAGAAGGATTTCGGAGAATCTATATTTAAGCTCTTTCTGTCAGAGGAACCTGTTTTTTCTCACCATTTGAAAGAGTTGCGCTAGTGTGACTACATTATAATGATCAGACTGGTCGTACATGTTTCATTTTGAAGAAGTAACCTTAGTGTCAGCCCTCGCAAAAAGCGCTGTAGAAACTGAGCCTGATTTTTCTCTTATCAGGCTTCTTTAGCCATGGTAAAGCATGATTAGTTCTATCCTCTTAAGTGCTTCTGTCCCACATCAGGGTACCTGATGTACTAATGATCCAGTAACACCTGTACCTCTTCATGCTCTCTCATGGGCTTCTGGAGGTTTAATCAGTGAGAATGGTGTGTTTTAACTGTGTGGTGGTAATCCTGAAAAGAGGGAAAAGTTCAGCTCTGGGGTTTACTTTCTCTGTTGAGCTTTCCAGGACTAAAAACTGATTTTCATGCTTCAGGTAAGCAGAAGTGACTTAAGACTCTCAGGGAGCAAACTTTTTTTTTTTTTTTACCCCCCAACCTTGGGTCAATGGTGGAATTTAGTGGGTATCGCATAGACGATGTTGTTGCTCTTGTGTGCCTGAAGTGCACAAATACCTGTGGATTCTGAGGGGCAGCGTCACGTGTTGTCCTTCTCGGAAGTGATGTAGGTGCTTCTCTGTGAACTTGATTTGAAGTCTCCCTGTATTTTTAGTTTAACCCTTTCTAAACATTAGCAGGAGCTTTGTCTCTGTAAAGGAGACAGCTTGAGAAAACAGAAGTCTTAACTTTAATAAAATACAAGAAATCCTAAAGACTTCTGTCCTTCTACACAATTTTATTAAGGGTCACATTTTTTCCTTTTGAAAGTAAGCTTTCCTGGCAGGGGGTGCTTAAAAGAGCAGTTCTCTTGCATTGTAACTTAATCTTGCTTTCCGCCCCACGTACCTGAATCAGGAAGTTTTGAGAAGAAATAAAATCACTTGCCTCTCCTAGGAGGTTTGCTAACATTTGTCAGATGAATCTCTTTGCTAATTTCTGGCTCTGTTTTGGCATTGACTTTAATTCATTTTGACTCCATTGAGGCCAAAATTTCCCTGCTCGTTTCTCAGAACTTCTAATTTGTTTTGTCTGAGCGAGCAGGGGTGGTTTTGAAAAAGATGAATTAGTTGACATAGGTTTCTCTTTCATAGCAGTAAAAAAGCCCTCTTTGACAATTTAAGATCATCTTCAAGGCAGAATTCATTTTTGGTTGTTGCTGTGGAATTTGCAGCCACAAAGGATGAAGTTGATCATCTCATTTACTCTTCTTTCTTGCCTCCTGCTTCATTAATTGTCAACTTGATTGGGCTCCAACCCTTGTTTTTGATGTCAAAGTGCAAAGTTTGGGTGCTGTATTTTATTTATTTATTTATGGGGTTTTTTTTGTAGTGGGAGGCAGTTGTTTGAGTGCTAGTGTGATGATTAGATCTCTAACCAAGGAGGGAGGGAGTTTTGTTACAATGTCCTAAATTTGATGAAGGGTGTTGAAAGTACTCTAAATCACTGTGATGAGCAAGTGAAGTTAGGTCTATTACTTTTTTATTACCCTTCTTTTTTCCCTGGGAACTGTTTATTATTTGGTTAAATACTGACTAAAGTTTCTGATGTGACATGAGCTGTTCATAAGGGTGATTTTTTTTTTTTTTCAGTGAACACAAAGATGTAATTGAGACCAGGAAGAAGAAAAATAAATTTTTTGAGCAATCTAATACATCAAATTAGTTCTTAATCAGGATGAGTAGCTCATTGAAAGAACCATAAAAATAAAATGCAACAATTGCTAAGTGTCAGATGCTGACAGCTTTCTTGTACTTTTCTCTTGGCCTAAACTTTCCTGTTGTGAGTTAAATGAGGTAAAATGTGATATGCGTCTTCAGTATATCCACACTACTCAAATTCCCAGTTTCCTATGCGCCGTTACTCGAAATCTTATGTTCTGTAGTCTCCATGTACCAGTGCGTTATACAGTGGTGAGCACCCACAACCCAGAAATGGAGGCATGATCTTTATTTATCACTGTCATCCAACTGTGGCTGGTATCAAGCTTCTTATGGCTTTCCATGGTATCTTCTATATTGTAATCCCAAAATAAATTCTTCTTTTTTTTTTTTTTACTATTTAGGAAAAAAGTAACCAATGGATATTATCTGTCCTGACCACAAGAGGAACAGGGGCTCAGCATGACTGTTCATTTTGTAAACCCGTGATGATCGGAGGCCCGAGCCCCGCCTGACACTACCCAGCAGTTTGTGACCATCCTGTGACTAGGTAGTTGAAGTTAAGCAGCCTGAAATAGATTAGAAAATGCTTGCCCAGACTGATCTTCGAGCAGAGAGGTGGGAATGGCCGCAGATGCTCCTGGCGCTCCATGCATGCAGCAGCAGCAGGATCCGACAAGGGAAAGGGGGCTGGGGTTCAGTAGCTGGAATTTGGAGGGAGGAGAAGTTTGGGGTTGAGGGTGGAGATGAAGAGCTGAATCTCAGTGGGTGGGAGGAGGGTTAGGAAGATGAGCTGTAAAATGAGAGACTGCCTGCGCAAGGCCAGTAACTACTGACACCTTACAGCCTTACCAGGTGCTGAACTGGATGCCTGAAGAGTGTGTGTGTGGTGGCGGGGGAGGAGTCTAAGCATGGATCTGAATTTCCAGAGGCATCTGTTTACAGGGCTGCACGCCAGCAGTTCAATATGAGCGAGAGGAGGGATTTCTAACATAGGTCCTTCTTCAGTGTCTGGACTGGGTGTGCTGGGTAGTTTGAGTCCCGTTCTGAAGTCCTTTTGTTTGCTACATGGGGAGTTTAAGCTTTATGGTGGTTTGTTTTTTGTTTTTGATGCTCCAGAGCAAAAGATCTAACTTGAAGGCACTAAAATGCAGTTTGGTGTTACCTTAATCCCAAATCTGACTCTTGGTCTTTTATATTGTCCATGTTTGGAAGATCCAGCAAGAAACAGTGATACTCCTTTTAGCATCTCTGACTCTCCTGCGTTTGTTATGGGGTCGTGAGACTTTCTTCAGAGCATATGAGAACAGCATGGCTGTGCCATCACAAACATAACATCTGTAACCATATTTTAGAAGTTTCTCACAGTTGCAGAATCGTTTTATTTTTGAGATCTCCACTAAAGATGTCCGTAAATGTGCACAAATACAGTTGCATTAAAGAATGGAAATTAGCTATGAGAAAGGATGCTTTTAGGTCATCTAGATTAGTGCTACTGAAATGTTCACATGAGCCCTGCTTCAGAAGATAAAATGAGACAGCACTCCCATCGCTTAGCTTTAGGAAATACACGTAAAACCACGTTTATTTAGAACAGGATGTGCAAGTTGAATAAAGTGGGTTGACTGTTAAAGACTGACTTGCCAACAACTGGCTTTGGCCAGAGGGAAGATATGTAGTATTCTCTTTTCTCAAACTGAAATGAGTTTTCTAGGGGCTCCAGATCTTCATAGATAGCCTGCTTTTAATGTTCTGTGGCTCATAGCTTGGTTCTCCAGCTCTTCATAGCAGGTGGCACCAAAATACAATTATCACTTCTGCCTGTACTCTGTTCGATTCAAGAAGTATCCTGTGAGTTCCCAGCGCTTTTACCCCAATTTAGTTTTCCCGCAGGCTTCTGCTGCGCGTGCTCATGTTCCCTGGCGTTCTGCTGCGCTCTCCTGTATTGCTGTGTAACCCACCTCTGGCAATGCGCGCTCCTCAGAGAGGAGCATCCCATACCAGGCTGAAGTAATACAGCTGCTTAAAATCTTATGCTGAGGTAGATGACCTGGTCCTTTTACCTGAGCTGGGGTGTGGTAGTATACGTTTGTTCTAATATACGTTTGTACACCCTGGCTTCTCTCCGTATGTGTAAAACTGCTTCTCTGTGCCTCTGTGATGGAGAGAGGAGAGGTGAAAGTGGAATAACCTATTTCAAATGACTCTTAATTTCACCTATGTATCTCAGTATGTATGTGTACTATGGACTAGCTGATGCACAGCTAGTTGTTACTGCGTGGAAACTTGTCTATATGCTTATGTGCAGTCTTTCGTGCAAACAAGAGAAACAAATGGTTTTGTGCAGTCCTTCTTTTTACATTTGGGTCCTCTTTGTTGTTGCTTTTCCCTCAGGCCAGTTTGAGAAACACTGAACTGGAGCCTGTTTTGGCAGTGCAGTTACCAGTACTTTTGTCCAATCTTTGTTTAAACGTTGAGAGCTCCAGCTTCCATTTCTTCCCTTGGGGATACAGAGCAATAGCGTCAGGAAGTTTCCTTAATCCTAAACCTAAGTTTTTTGTCTTAGATTTATTCCATTGCGTCTGATCTTTTACAGACTGATTTCGTTGTTTGTTAATGCCCTACCAGTATAGAAAGAATGTAAATAACTTCATATGTACCTTAGTCTGGGTGTTTAACTTAAAATTTCACGTGTATTTGAGCCTTGCTCGCTTTTCCCTGTAAGGCAGTTGTTTCAGCTGCCGAATCACTTTTTCGCATGTATATATTAATTTTATTGTGAAACAAGCAATTTCAAGCAAAGAATAAAGAGTTTTGAGTATTTGGCAGAACGGCTGTCGCTATATACACTCTAAATAACTGTTCCATTGGGTCACCGTCTGAATGCCTGGGGCGCAAGACTCCAGACTGTTTCATAAAATGACTTAATGTTACTTGTTAGTTGTCTTATGAAACCTGTCATTCTAAACATCCTGTTATATTGTTTGTCTGAAATGGGTAAGCCATTGTGGGAAATAGTTTTCCCAGCAATTTCTAGTTGGTGGCTGGGAATTATTAAGTTGCTGGCTATCATTAAAGTTAGGCTTGTCACTGCAGAAAGGTGTAATGGGATATATTTGTTGTGATGGTGGAAGGAAGCGAAGATACTAGAAAACTGCAAGCTTTGTTACACGCTTCTGAGTTCTCTGGCCTACATTAAGGTGAGATGTCTTCAGATTTTCACAATGAGATGGTGAATTTTTACTGAATGATTTTCATGGTTAAGCGAATGTGAAGACAAGGTAGAAATCATAAAACTGAGTATCTGTTGTACGTATCACAGTTAGTCACTCGAGAAGAATAAGTGCAAGGTCACAGTTTAAAATAAGCAAAAATCCAACCCTGTTTGTTACGAACACTTAGCAAGGGCTTTAGACGACTTTCCCAAAGCCTAGTGACTTTTTATTTTCTATTTAGAGTCCTCTTGTTAATAGGATAAATATATTGCCTGGAAGTATCTCTTCAGTTATATACGGTGGATACTATTGTAGTATGTGGATGCTTGTTCCTGTTCTGACTTTTCCAGAACTATAAAGGAAATAGTGCCACTACCTCCTTACTTCATATGACAACGTGTCTATAATCTCGAAGACTACTGGCTTTATTTCCCGTGCTGTCCTGGCAGTACTAAATCTTGATCTGCCTTTTGTAAGACGTCTGTGGAACGTAAGTTGTAGTCCTTGGGAAGCTGGCTATGCGTGTTAGGTATCTGAAACGGTCTAAAAATATTGGAAGCAGTAAAATGATTTTCTGCTACCTTTCCCTTATAAGCAGTTGCTATGTCTGTGTCTGTGGGATTATTTGTTTTGAATGAGCTATGAAGCATCACAAGACTGACTTTCTGATATGCAGTCTTGAAAGTCATTTGTGAGGCGGGAATTGCGCATTAGATGAAGTATGACATTATCAGAAGCAAGCTAAGGAAACATGGATAAGATGGAATTGCTATAGGAATGTTAGCAGCCGTTTGGAAAACGGAGAGGGTAGTTACTAATCAGTCTTCAACAAGACAGATGAATTGAGCGGGATTTAACAGTGGCCTCTCCTAGGACCAATATTAATTTTGCCTTTAATAAGTTGGATGAAGGAATAATGATTGTTCTTATTAAGTTTCAGGATAAACTGGGGAGAGCTGTGTGTATGTTTGAGAAGAGGCTTTGGATTTATACTTACCTTGACAAACTGGAGAAACAGTCTGGAAGACATTGGGTGCAGTTTAGTAGGGGGCTAATGGGAAATCGTGCCCCATAAGGTGTAGGAGTGCTCAGCTGCACGTGTACAGGGTGAGAACGACTGGCGAAGCAGCCAGCCCTTTACGGAAAGGGTTGTGCGTGTGGTAATGGGGCACAGGCGCAACACGAGTCAACAGGATCACGTTGTTGCAAAAAGCATAGTAGTGTGCGTAAATAAAATTTTCATCTCTAACTCACGTAACAGGGAAAGAACAATTTCCTTCAACAAGAAAGGAATATTTTCTGCATAGGGAGGGTTTCAGCTGGAATACTTTGCCCAGATGTGGGCATGCCAACCCTGTGTCGTTTTTGTGGAACAGCACGAGGAACTATAGAGGGGAGCAACTGGAAGGATCAGAGGTGCAGAAAACATGGCCTATGAGGAGAGGCTGAAAGAGTAAAATATATTTAGTCTGGAGAAAAGGCTGAGACTTACTAACAAAAGTGTTAAAATTGTAGCATTCAAACGTGCTGTTAACTCTGTAAAGAGGAAAGGAATGATCTCTTCAGAGCCGGGTGCAGGTCAGAGAACTAGTGAAGGGCTTCAGTTACGTCAAGAGAGAGGTTCACTTTAAGCACCAGGAAAAGCTTTCAGGCAGTAAGGCTAGCACTGGACAGAAGCGGGTTGCCTGGAGAAGCCCTGGAGTCTCTGTGAAGCACAGTCTGAACAGGCGTTTTGGGAATGGCACAGACTGCTGGCCCTGTCCTGGTGTCCTTGTGCAGCACCCTGGGAGATCTTTCTTCTGCTGTCTTTTTTGAAAATGGCAGTGTAGCATATGGGATGGTTAAGGAAGGAAGCACGAGATGTGGCTTTCAACCAGTGCACTTCTTGTTTTGGAGGCTTGGCCGTTGCTAAGTAGTATGGTAAATTACAGAAGGAGTTGTAATATAACAGTAGTGATGACTGCAAAAATAGGTCTTTGTTCCAAACGGCTTTCTGTTGTAAAAAGTTGTGTTTTAAGAAATAAATCTTACTGGCATTTTTCCCCTGTTGATGCTTAGTTTCAAGACAGTATTTATGAAAAGCTACTGTGCGTTTCTAAGTCTTCCTGCCTGCGTCTACGTTGTCTTTAGTTTCTATAAAATTTTTCTGCTTTCTCTTTTCTGTTCCTCCGCGTTGCTGTTTCTGTCGCTGCCCCGTTGCTTTTTCAAATGTGCCGGGGGAGTAGAAATCCGGAGTCGGCTGGTACAGCGTGTGCAGAGAGGATGATATTTCTCTCCTGCGTATTCTTTCTCCCCAGCAGTTTCCCTCCTCTGAATTTGCGACTGAAGGGGGGAGGTGGGTGGGTTGGCGCCCTTCCAGACTGGGGAGCGTTGTGGTTTTTACATAATGGAGAAGAGCCCCCCTGCTCGCTAGTCAGAGCTGATGTAGTTCACTGTTTTTTGAATCAGTGTGTTAGGACTGCTTACCAAGCAAAGGAGGGAAGTGGTGTTACCTGTATCTTCTATGCTATTTTGTAGGGCGATATCTGTTTGTGAAATCAGTAAAACTGGGACTGAGGGTGGTGGCCGTATAGTGTTAACGGCTAGAGAAAGAGAAGAAGATTTTTAGTTGAACCTTTTGGTATTTCAGAGTTCATCCTGGCATTTAACTGAGCAAACAAATGTGTTTTTAATGAAGAGTTCAAAAATATATTAGTTTTGTGGCTCAGCTGTGAGGCAAAAGCTGTGGTTTTCTTCACGCTGAAAAGTTGTAGGCTGTGTTGCATTTTAATGTTGCCATTTGAGCTGCCAGTGCCAGGGCTTTGCTTGCGTTTCTGTGGAAAACTTGCATTAAAGGGGTTTAGTGGGGACATTGAAGAATTATACCATAATGAAACATTGCATAAGAGAAACTTATTCAAAGTCACGTTTGAAAAATTGATCCAGACATTTGTTTTGTCTCCCAGTGCCCGTCCTCCCTCCCCAAGTGTATTTTGTGGGTGAGGCTTTCAGTATTTGCTAGCTGGAGGGTAGAGGCCGTATTAATATCAGAGTTTTGCTGCAGAGCAGTAGTGTGCTTTTTGAAGCGAGTCCCTCCAGTCATCCCCACTTACTGTGTGTTGGCTCAGTTTGCAGTGTTTTTGCTGCATGCAAGCTAGATTCCTTTTGATGGAAACTAGAGGCTCCGTTCAAAGTTTTTTGCCAAATGCACTTTATCTCCCAGTGATAGCCTCTTTTGGATAGCTTCAAACCATGTGTGCGGTGGGGGCTGATTGTATCTGTTTATCTGAAGTAAAAATCCGACCCACGTATCATGATTCAGCGACCTTGGCACTGTGACTGCTTTGATCTACGGATCTTCTTGCATTGCTCAAAATTAATTGCTTAGCATAGATATAGCCGGAGACTGCCACAGAGCTGGTAAAAGGGAACGGAGATGATTTAAAAAACAAAACAAAACAAAAAAACCAAAACCCTAAATCAAAGAAAATGAACATAGCTAAAACTTTAAAATTACGTCGAGTCAAAATACGGGTGCTATAGTATATGCTCTGTATTTTTTTTTTTTTTACAGATTATAAGGCAACGTTTTCCTTTGATGCCACAGACCAAGCTGAGCAACAATAGTCCTGAAGTAATAGGATCTCGGCCACTCCTTAGTAGATGGGTGGTGGTATCCTCTTTCTGTACTGCAGAAGGGTGGGGAGACAAAAAACGTTACAGCATGGTGCTGACGCTTTGGCCAGAGGCTGTCCTAATTCAGTTAGAAAGACATTACTATTTTTCCCCCTCCCTCTTCTTATTCTTTTTCTTTTAGCAGTGCACATAGTTATTGGTTCCTGGTTTTTACTTGAATTTCTGCTCTCTAATACTCTGTTTCTTAGCTCGTAATGCTGCTGTTTTTGTTAGTTTATTTTTTTTTTATTCTAAGGCATGGTGTGCATTGACTGCCCGGATAGACCCTGATATAACTGCTCACATCTCCAAGAAGCGTTGTAACAAATCTGTTGGGTGTAACAACTTTAAATGTTTTTGTCATGTCCATTACCATAGGACGCAAAGTATACATGTGCATAACCCTGCAAGAGGGGAACGTGGGCTGTTAGTAGAGGGAAAAATTCCTTCTATTCCCACACTTAATATTGTTCACGGGTAGTTGCTAGATTAAAAAGAGCAAGTAAGCAAAATCCCTGCCAAGGAAGCTGAGCTATCCAGGATCGTCAAGGAGAAGTCTAAAGGAATGTCTTGAGGAATTAAGGCAGGAGCTACATGGAACCTTCTTTCTATACTTATTTTTGGTTTGCCTTTGTATGATTTTTTTTTTTTTTTAAGCGTACTCAGTTCATAAGGGATCCTCTAGAAGAAAGCAAATTTTTGAACAGATCAGCTCCTTGAATCCGCTGTATAAACTTGCAGTTATCTAGAAGTTTGGCTTCATATTCCCAAAACAGGATAGAGGATAGAGAATATTCTGTTATCAGTTTTGTTCTGTTGATACTGCTAAAGTTGGTTCCTACTCATGTTAATATTAAGAGAATGGCAAAGTTGCTTTTAAGATTATTCGTATGAATTTAATATTGATTGTAGTACTTTGTGTATTCGTATTATAATGGGTACATACACTTGACGCATTCTATTTTTCTATATATTAAATGTGAATTGCATCATCTAAGGTTTTAATTTATATTATAGATTTATAATTTTCTTTGGAAACATTGTAATAAAAATATACCCTTCACTTACTTGCCAAAAAATAAATTGCAGCTCAAATGTGAAATGCCTGATGTCACTCCTACTACCTAAATAGCACTCCTTTCATTTTTTTAGGAGCTTGTGATGTCATCAGCTGAAGCGAAAACATCTACCTCATGACCTGGCATGTAAGTGAAGGAGGAACTGAAGTTTAAAAAAGAAAAAATGTGTGTGTTGGTGTTTACAGTGTGTAAATTGAGCCTGTATACCCTCAACATTCAGGTACCACCTTTTTAAATGAAAGCTTTGTGGGTTTTAAAGGAATATAAAGTCATTTAAAGGAGAGGAAGTCATAAAAGAAGCTGTTAACAATGAGATTCCAGCAGAAGTCCTTGTAGTAATTTCAGTTACAATTTGTCTTGATGCATCTTGTAATGCTTGGATGTTGTAGGCATAGAGGGACTAATTTTATTTATCACAGCATTTACGTGTGCTACTTTTACTTTTTATTCGGTGCTTTTATTAATGAATTTAGATTTTGATTGTTACGATGAATAAATATTCCACACTGTGATAGGCTTACTAAAATTAAGAACTATTCTCTGCCAGGCTTTTTCAGATTTTGTTGTTGTTGTTTGCCTGCTCTCTGCCTTTCTTTTATGTGGCTTAAAGGATTAAAGTGTAGTCATTGCTTTGAGGGGCTGATGTCAGCACTGAGCTGGGTATTCCTAATTAGTGCCAACACCTGTACCTCATTATGGAGCCTCGTTCAAGCTGTCCAGTGAACCGAGGTAGCTGGTCTCCGTTGCATGTCTCTAATGTGATTCTAAACCCCTCTCCTGATGCAAGTTTTACTACCTATTCTACTTCTGGAGCGATGTGGAAAGTGAAGCTAAGCTGAGCCCTTTGGCTGGCTACCAAAGATTATAAGGAGTGGCAAAGAAAAGGGATGTAGTCAACTCAGTTTCAGCATTTTTAGTTCAAAGCTTGCTTCTACTTTGACTGTTTAAAAAAGTGGGGGAGGGAAGCGTTATACCTGATTTTTAATGTCAGATATTCTGAATTTAGAGATCAGTTCTACAAACTCCAGCTGGGCTCTTAACATCTGAGCTCAGTTGCTATTGTGTATCATCCCATGATTTTCCACAAATAAAACTTTGGCCTTGACTACTCTTGTACCATCCCTTTGTCTTCATGGGGATAAAACTTAGCAATTATTTTGATACACAAAAATGCATAGCATCAGTCTTTTAAGTGATTCTGTACCGTTAGCAGGACTAAAATGTAATGTGTTTTGCCATTGCAGCTTAAAAAAAAAGTAACTGAGTTTAAACGTTTGTTTGTAAAGTCCAAACACAACAGTGGTCAATTTAATTACAGACGTGAATTTTATTAGTCAAATCTGTTCCAGGTTGTATCTTCTAAGTAGTTTAAGTAGGTTTTTAAGAGTTTAGCTTGCTACTTACTGAATTCAAATATAGAGCAGCGTGATGCTGGCAGTGGGTTTGGGTTATTTCTCTGTGAGTGAGGTGAGAGACAAAATAACTTTAAGATTTATATTGTAGAAAAGTTTGAGATAATAAATGTATAAGAGCTCCCAGGAGAACACCGTGCTATCCACACTTAGAAAAAGGGAAATCCCATTCCATGAGGAAAGGGAAGTGCTGAGGATCCTTATACTTCAGATACAGAATTGCAAATGTAATTACTGAAAGCCCCACTAAGTTAAATCTCTGCAGAGTAATAGCTTTGGAGTAAAATAAGGAGGAATAAGTAATGGGCATAAACTTTTGCGTGTTTTTCTGTATTTAGTATTTGCTTACTAATGTACCAATTATAAAAATGTCATTTTGGTCAAATTCAGGAATGCTATAATTAAAGCTTTGCAGAAATGTTAACTATCAAGCTGTTATATCTTCTGGATTTGGAAACTTTCAAAGATAGAGCCTTCAGAAATTCTCACAGCCTATTTGTTTTTTTATAATCTACTTAGCTTAAAGTTGATACAGCTATTCTTAACTCTTTGCCGTACGTTCTCTGTAGTGTTCTCTTATGTCTTGTAGAAGCTTGACTGAAACATTTGAAAAATAGATTAAAACCCTTGTTTACAACTATGCACGTAGGCATAAAAGTAGATATTCCTCTTAGATGCCGATATGACTGTAGGTGGGAGTAGATACAGACAGGTGTGTGTCTGCTTCTTTGTGGCTGATTGAAAAAATGACAAGAAATGCTGAATTAACAGAGATGTCAAAGCACTTTTTTTCCTAAAAACAGTTCCTTGATAGGTCTACAGAACTCAGTGTTTCACTAGTGAATCTAATGATTCTTAATGGTAATTTTAAAGCTAATGCGTTTTATATATGGAACGCATACCTGTGCCTCCAGAGGAAGTACAGTAACACAGAGGCTGCCAACGCTTTCCTTTTCCTGGATTTGCTGTCTGTAAAAAATAATTTTAAAATATATACATGTGTGCACATGGCATGCATACCTTTCAGGTTGTTCCAGGCTGCTTTTTCTTTCTCCTCCTATTCTTCTGGGTTCTCCAGAAGAAAATCCTAACTGGACTGGATAGTGCCTTAAGGTGCGCATCAGCTATATTTGCATTGCATGTTTATTGAATTTGCATTAAAAACAAATGCTAACACGCTGGGAATTACCTAATGTTTTACTTAAATTAATCATTTTGACCAAAATAGCTCTCTCCAGTGAACAGTGGTTAAGAAACTTTGGGGCAATAGTATGTCAGCCATCAGAATCTGTTGTGCTCATCTTCTCCAAAAATTTATCTGATAATCATACTCGTTCTGCTATCTACCGTGGCCCTGTAAAGCAGCTGTTTGATCTCTAGTCTGCAGAGTTCAGGTCGGGAACTGGCATGTTATATTAAAGCACAATTGGTTTTGTATTTCAGCTAAAAATAAAGAAAGAAATGAAAATCCAGTGGACAGAGGTGACTTCTGATGAGTAAGTCGAGTTTCGTGTGAGCTCCCTTAATGAATTAGACCAATTATGGTCTCTGATAATGGTCAGCAGTGGACACGTAGGAAAAGCAAGCGTTATAAAGCCGATATACACTCTGTTTCCTGTAAATTTTTGACGTTGGGGTTTCTGGAGTGGAAGATTGAAGAGAACTAGGAAAATGGAGGATCAGTCAAACTGTGTGCTTTCAGACCCCTGCAACCAACATCCCGTAGCAATGAATTTCGCTAAGTAATTGTGTGCAAAATAATTTTCTTTGCTTTTAATGACTTTTTTTGCGTGTCTAGTTTTTTGGGCCATGAGAAACAGCTGAGTAGTCTCTTCATGTTCACCTCTCTGTACCGCTTACGGTAGATATCTTGCATTCAGCATCTTCTCTTCCCAGCTTGATAATCTCGGTCTGTTTACTCTCTCGTTCTAAACGTATTAAACGCTCCTGATAGAACTATAGCTGGAGGTTCACATTCTGCTATTTCTGCAATACTTTTTCTTGTAGTAGTACCAGAAGGGGGAGAAGATACTCTCTTACTCTTAGCAAAAGTGAGTGATGTACTGGTGTCACTCATCCATAAAGCTTTTTCCTTGTGTCTCAGTGGGTGTACAAAATGAAAGTAGACAAGCTTGTATCACTGCTTTTCTTCCCTGTTCTTGAGCCTTACCAGAAGGCTGTCTCTTTTGTATCAATGTGCAATGGTCTGTGGTGTTTTCCCTATAAAACAGCTTCTGCTACATCTGATTTGGAATGCTCAAGGACGCCATTTTTAAAGGCGTTCAATTAATGTGTTTACTTTCATCCACTTAAGACCTTTTGAAAGTGTCCTTCAGATGCTGTGATGTGGCTGTGCATATATTAACTTGGAGCCATTAGTAGCATTGGCACAAGCAGCTGCCGTCAGCTTCCCTAGCAGGGGATGGCAGAGGGAACTGCCCGTAGCAGAGCCGTTCGTTGGACCATAACTTCAGCACGAACAACCAGGCCCCTTTGCTGGGGGCAGTGGGGGGACAGATGGTGAAAGAGGCATTTCAGAACGCTTTATTCTGCAAAGGCCCAAGTGCAGGTTCAGTTGTGCTTTGTTTAAGTTTCAGAGCTTCTGATAAACTTTTCGGCTGCAGGCTGCCCTCTTCCCTGTGGCTGCTGAGAGCAAGAGCCTGAAGAGAAGCAGTTCCTTAGCCTCCCCAACCAACTGAAAGTGTATTGACTCTGCAGGTTTTGCGTTGTGGTACGGAGTCTTAAGTGTGACTGTTCTAAATGTGAGTCTACTAGGCTAGATACAAATTTTATTTGTTTTTTGTTTTTTCCCCCTTCAGTTTTACAGGTGCATTTTCAGTTGTAACCTCTCTTTTTTTCCTCCCTGTTTCTCAGCAGAGATCTTATTACTGCTGTTGTTGGCATGGGATTCAGGTGCAGCAGCTGCAGCATGTAAAGGGCTTTCACCTATGAAAAAAAGATGTGTTGAAATACCTCCCTACCTCCATGGCTTGTAGGCATTTCCATGCATCCCAGTACAGGAGTGGACAGTGGATAAAGGGACCTGCTTTGAAGTCAGATCTCACAACCCTGCAGCTCTGGAATGTCAATTGCAATAGTTCTTTAGTCTCACAGCATGGAAAGGATGGTGGGGTTTTCTGTTTGTTTTTGTTTTACTTTCTGACTCCATGTATCCAAGTACCAGTATTGTTTGTTATCCACCCTATGAGGCAGGCGGCACCTTTCCCATGCCCAAAAAAAAAAAAAAAAGAGAAAAATCTCCATCTACTCACTTGGCTTTAACTAAGGTTGATTAGGACACACTTTCTTCTAGGTGCAGTAGAAGGAGGATCATCTAGTCTTACTCATTTTAATCTTGTTAATTTAGTGAACAGGGAGGAAGTGGAAGGAGCAGACATAGAGAAGTGTTAATGGTCATTCCTGATCGATGTGTCCCCTCATTCAAAATGTGTAGAAGTCCCTTGGTGTAAATGTGGCCACTGAATGACAAGTTGAACCTTATGTGATCCTTTGGACCCATCTTCTTGCTGCTCTCTCATACAAGGTGTGGCATTTTTGAAACCTTGAGCAGGTGTGATCATCCCGTGGTCCTTGCTTCAGGACAGTATCGGTTCCAGTAGGCAAGTTTGCTATTTATTTTGTGGTTGCTGCACCTTGCATTATGATAGAAAAACCTAGATTTTTTTTTAAATTTTTTACCTCTGTTCTGTACCT